GGGCACCAGATGCCACGCCAATTCAGTTATTCCTTAGAGTTCCATAAACTTCTGTCCTGTTCAGTGGTATGATCTGAAATGTTATTTTTAGAAATTTGTCATTTAGAACAGGTCTGAGTTCTTCCATGGATGTTTAAAAGACGAGATTTATTTGTAAATGTATCAGAACAAAACAGTGACTGTCTTTAGATGGCAAAAGAAAAGACCCATTCACAGATCTGATTATAACACGATTCTTACGGATCCCCCTCCTTTGCACAAGACACGGCATTCCAAAATAACCTGAAGAATTCTAAATGAAAATGTATTAGAACTTTGTAGACTCCTGGAGATGTTTATATACCCTCTAGAATATTCACTTTAATAATAAAAATACGTGTATACAAGTAGAACCTAGTTACTATTTCTTTAATTAGCAAAGCTTCTCATGTACTTTAAGCATCTGAAATAGGCCTAATTCATCCAAGATTTCTCTATTTTCAGCAGAAAGAATACATCCTTGAGAGATATCAGGGGCTCATTGAAATATCTCAAAGACATTTCTAGATTAAGAAGAAGTCTTTTAAAATTTAAACTCTGGGATGCTTGTCAACCATATTTGACCTAAGGAGTATATATTGCCATGAAATAATATTTGATTATTTATTTACTTAGGGTGATAATAAAAGGTATGTAGCATTAATCCATGCTGGCAAAATTTCAGTTCTTAGGATGGAGAGAAATGATTTTATTGCAATTTGTTCAAGTATCTTACTAACACAATATGACACATAAATGTTTTAATAAAACAGAATCTCACATTCTAGGCACATACAAGAAAAACTTTTGCCCTTTTAACATACTGAAATAGAACCAAATAAATTCTGTATTAGCTTACTTTTGGTATTTAGATTCATTTACCTAACCAAATTCATTATTAAGCTTATCTATATAATTTCAAGATCTCTTTATAAACCTTCTTAACTAATATAAAGCACCTGCAGCTTACACAGTCCTTTTGCTTTGTTCCTCCTTAAGTCGTTGAGAAATAACCAACTTAAGAACAAATTCTTTTCTTCATTTTTCTTCAGCAAATATTTTCATACTTTGTACCTTTTATTGCCCAACCATATATAACGTGGGAGTTCCAAACTGGCCAGCTACACTGCACTCGTGTTTGTGATATTCTGGAAAAAACCACCTGGAGGACCAGCAGAGCGAGCATGCTGTGGACATGCTGTTTTTACTCCCGTTATGGAGGCGTCTGCCGATGGTGGCAGATCGTTGCAAGAAGGAGCAAACCCTGCCTCCCGCCTTGGTGCTACTTATAGGCCTAGGGAGAGAGCAGTGGCCACGGAGAGGAAGCCACAGTGGCCTGTGAGAATGCTACAGCGTTCTGATAAACACAGGGGCCTTCAGAAAGCTATGAGATACAGGCTGTTTTCCTTGCTCCTAGTGCTCCAGGTTAGGCAGCCACCTGTTCTCTGAGGTGAAGGAGCCATGTCTCGAGCCACCCCACACACCACGCCAACATTGCCCCTCCGCCTCACAACTTTTGCCTTAGTCTTTTCTGACAGGGAGTCCCTGGGTGGTGAGAGCACTGGCGCGTTGAATCTACCTACTACAAATACAGTACAGGCTACACCCCAAGAGGAGCAGAAAAGGGCAGGGGACGAGGATGCCGAGGAGGACATGCCTTTTGTCTTTCCCCAACCAGACAATGCCCAAGATTTTGACAGAGAGACCAGGTCCCTGCCTGCGTAGGGCATTGAAGTCTCTCCCTGCCTGATGGAAGGGAGACAAGAGAATAGGATCTGAAACTGGAACAGAGAGGCTGTTAGCTGATTCTTCCAAGGCGGGGTAGGCTGGAATCCCCGAAGCATCCGCGCCTTGATAGGGAGTTATTGTATCCAGCTCAGCCATCTAATCATGACAACAAGTCCATTCAGCCAAACAACTGAGTCTCATTTCAGGAGATGAGGATGCAGACGGGCATCTACAGTGAGCGCTCTGTTGTGTAAACAAAAGCATTCTTTAGATTGGCAAATATATTTCATAACTTGTAGACACTCAGGCTCCTACATTGGTAAACATGTATTTACAATTTTAAGAGACATATTTCTAATAAAGAATAAAACATTGATTAACAGCCTCAAACTTATTTTCTACCTTCTTTGTAATAAAAAGTTAAAAGTAGGTGAACTTAAGACTTGCCTAGTAATTAATGTTTTGGTATTTTGTGTTAACAACTTTAGAAGATACAAGCCAAACTTAAACCAGCTTTAATGTCAACTATTCTCCCAGACCACAGGATCATGAAAAAATTTTTTGAGGTAGTTCTTTATTCTTTACTGTACACACAAAGAGTATTATTAATGATTGTAGAGAAAACAAGATTTTTCCCCCTTTTTATTTGTTCTTGACAACTTTATGGAGGCTGGGGAACAGGGATGTGGGGGAGCTATCAGGCTTGGGGGGATTTCAGCTGCTTCAGTTTTAAAAATTACCAGATTCTTTCTCTTATATTGTGAGGAAGGACTGTTTCTTCAGAAACCTGCACAGGGTTTGGGGTGTTTTCAGAGACTCATTATATATTTTTATTCTAATTCCCCAGAGGAAGATTTGTTAAGACTCTCAATGAAAGATTTAAAGGCCATGAATTAGTTGTGGAAACAAAGAAAGTGTTGGCCTAATTTAAGAAATTACACATGTAACATCCTAAAAATTGTTCATATGGGAAAAAGAAAAACCTGGTAACAGAAGATGAGATGTGTCATGACAGGAATGAGGTTGTCAAAACTGGTGTGATAAATGCTTTAGATAGAGGGCCATGAGTTACAGAACAAGTAGGGAAATGTGCTGTGGATGTCCTCAGGGTGTCCTTACCAACGACCCGGGCTAGATGCCCTGGGGACAGATTGACCCCACCCAGACAGGGGACTCAACCCCACACTGGCAGAGAAAGAAATACAAAGAGAGAGGGCATGGTAGTCCCGTGGATATGTCTGCCTCATGCCCTGAAATTGGTTTTCCCCTCAACCGGGATGTTAGCTAGATATCCTGGCGATGGATTTATTCCACTCACACAGGAGAATCAGTTCCAGAATGGCAGAGGAATACAAATAAAAGCGCACTTGCCGTGTGGATGTGTCTGCCATGCATCCTAAACTCCACGCAGGCCAACAAAAGTGTGTGGTACGGTACGGGATCCCTTCGGACATTGGGGGGTGATCAGCTCCTGTTCTTTGGACTCCATCACCCAGGTGTCACCTGAGGATGGTCATGTATTCAGATGACTCCATGTCCAGAGGCCAGCCTTACCTTCAGTCTCAGCATTGACAAGGCACATTTTTGGCAGAGGACTTGCTCTGCAGCTAACAGGTAGTTTTCCTCCACAATGAGGATGAGAAGAGACAGGAGAATGAATTAGAGAGAGAGGAGAGGAGAGGAGAGGAGAGGACAGGAGGGAAGGGAAGAGAAGAGAAGGGAATGGAAGGGAATGGAAGAGAAGTATTTCAGGCTACCATGAAATTATTTCTACAAAGTGTGATCCTTCTTTATTCATTAAAATTTGAGGGGGAAAAAGTGAGTTGAGAAAGATATAGTAAGGTGTGAGAAGACAAATTTAGAATTGTGGAAAAATAGCCATGACATTACATTTCATTGCTTTAATAATCATTTACTAATTATCTCACTGCTTCAGAGGCTGAACTAGGTGTGTGTTATACAGCAGTGATTGAAGAAATGCGATCACAGCCAGGGTTGTTCAAAGGGTTTATTGAAGGAACAGCCAACAATTCAAAAAGAAGATGTTCCAATGTATAATAGTTAGCTGATAGGTTATGTGGAAACATAAATTGACCAGCACTCAGGAAAAGAGATTTCATTTAATGGGAAAGATGTTTCATGGACAAGAAAATGCTGTACAGTCTTCCCATGCCAGTAGTTTGCTGACAGTGTCAGACCTCACTCCTATGATCATTGTGCCAGTTTCAGGCTGCTGGAGATTATGTTCATGTACAAGTGATTTCTATAATTTCTGGTTTTTAGATTTTTTTCAACCCTGTTACATAGTTCAATTTTTTTTCAAATTTTGGTTTATATTTCAGTGTCATATTTGCTCTGAAATTTTAAATGGGAAATGCTTCTTACCTCACTATAATTGAATTTAATGTTTATTCCACATATGCATACCCATAATTACTTGTTACTTAGTTCATGTGATTTTTAAAGTTTCTGAGCTATATGTAGGTCATCTATCGTTATAAATATGTGCTTCTGTTACCCTAACTATAATGTATAAATATGTTTGTAATCTGAAACTTTGAGAATGCCTGAGATATCATCTCACCTGATGTCTTAAATATGTCGGTAAAAACAAATTCTTTTTCACTACGATAAATGCAAATGCATTTACACTTTAACAAAAACACCAATAAGTGTCAGAAATCAGCTCTCCCACTTGAAAAATTGATTTATCTTAATTGATGTTCAAATTGTAACTGAACAATAGAATTCCATTTTAATGTTTATATTATTCATCGTAAGTTCTTTTTTCTTTCACACGCTTGTCCTAGTCTTGTGTTATATTTGTCACATACATATATGATGGTGTAAGTAGGGCATTTGCGTATTTTCAGGACTCTAATGCAGGCATAACTCTTCTATTATGACCCGCTCTGTTGGGCTCACAGGTAATTTGTTTTTATTAACGCGGACTCAAGCCCCTTCACCAGGAAAAGATGATGACTCTCTTTAGCCATTTTCAAGAAGTGTCCTTCGTGGGGACCTGGCATTTCACAGCGCCCTTAGCAACGGATCTTGGTCTTCGCAACTGTAGTGATGTGGGAGAACCCCTCATCGCCGCCTTGGGGTCTCACAATACCGTGCTTGGAATACGGCCAGGCCTACCGGAAGAGAGGTCAAAAAAAGGCATTTCCGTTGGGACCCAGCTGCAGGGGCGGGACTTCCGGCGTCCTCCTAGCGGCGGACGTTGGCCGCAGCCAGGATATTCTCAGTTGCGTGCTCAGAAGGTACAATTCGCTGGGTGCTGGTGGAGATGCCCGGGCGGAGAAGGCGCCGGAGTCGTGGTCCACCCAGCACACACGAGAGTAAGAAGCTGGGCGACGCTGCTCGGGTGACCCGCGCCAGGGCCGGGACAGGGGTAGCCATGCCGGGCGCGGCCTCCCGTCCCGCCGCTACCGCCCGGCGAGCTCAAGGTCCGTTGGCGGCCTCGCTGAGACACCCGGCTGAGGTAAGCGCACGTCCCCTCGCACCTCCAGCCTCCTCAACCGCCTCACCACACCGAGCCCCACGTCGCGCGTGCGGGCGCCCTGCAGCCCAAGCTTCTCGGGTGGTACGAGACGAAGGCTCATTGGAGAGAGGAGTGTTGTGGTTTCTGAGGAAACAGCGAGGACAGTGCAGAGTGGACAGGGATTACTCGTATCTGAAATTCCCAAGCGTGTCTGGGTGGTGACCACTGAGGCAAAGCACAACGGGCAGGCAGGGAGGACTTCAGGGCTCATCTTTCGGGGCTTTGCCGGGCTGTGGGATCCATCAGAAAACGGGTTGTGCGGGATGCTGCTGGGACATATCAAGCACGCTTTTGCTGCCATACGCCTAGTTCATGGGTGAGTCCAGAGAGGTGCCTGTGCTGTGCGGCAGGGAGGGGCAGAACTGAGGGAGCGAACCTGGGGTCTGAAGAGGTGAAGGAGGCTGCCATTCCACAATGGCGGGCCGTGCTCCGCTAGAGGAAGCGGGAGGTCCTGGGCCCCGGTGTGAGGACAGAAGGGTGAACCGTAAGCTCATATTTGGCTGTGCATTGGAGGCATGATCTGGGAGACGCTGGCAGGAAGGACGGAAACCTGCAGTCGCGGCCCAAGGCTTCGATGACCTTCGCTGCCGTTCCCCACGTTGCTGTTGCTGAACGTGGGAACGGTAATTAATGGGATCGTGATGAGGGAGCAGCCAGCACTGGCATTAGGGCCTGGTGTCCACACTGAACTGGGGAGCCCTGGCGGAAATACAGCGAGGGGAAGATTTGTAGGAAGTAGTATTGTGATTCTCAGATAGACAGCTCTTGATTCATTTGTCTCAATTCTGTCAGATTGGTGTGACCTTTGCGGACATTGCTCTGTACTTCTCCAGGGAAGAATGGCGCCTCCTTGATGAAGCTCACAAACGCCTGTACCTGGATGTGATGCTGGAGAACTTTGAACTGGTATCCTCACTGGGTAATGCCTTCACTGTGCCGGCGGTGTGGACCAGGCTTTGCATTTCCTTATGCCTTCTGTTCTCCAGGGAGTGCTCTCTCCTCATGTGTGGACTGTAAGCACTGCTGGATTTTCCAGTTTCCTGAGTAGCTGCTTTGCTTGGCGGGGCTGACTTGTTTGCACCACTCTTTTCTCCCGCTGCAATCCCAGTACCCGTTGTACTGAACTCACAGGGAAGGATTTGTGGTTTGTAAAGTTGCATGGAGACTAATAAATACCACCTTCATTTGTGAGAAAAAGTATTTTTTCCTATTCCTGTTGGTTATTTGTATATATATTTTGCAGAAAGTAATCTCTACATTTTTGGCTAATGAGTCCTTGAATCCCTTGTATATTTTATATATTAATTCCCTTTACCTACTGGTGCATGGCTTTTTTTCATGTGTTTAATTTTGCTTTGCAGATATTGCATTTTTTTAATTTTTAGAAAATTTTATTAGAATTTCAGTATTTTTGGCACCCCTACATTCAGCAAGTCTAGTGTTACCAGTTTTTCAGCAGGCTCAAATGCTGGTTACGTGTTTAGGGATAAATTATTTTTAATTAAGTTATGTAGAGTTTTGTTGTTTTGTTTTTTTAAGACTAAAGTGTTGCTTTGTTAATAGCCTGCATAAATTTATGTGACTTTTTCTGACCTGATCCCAAAATATCTCCAAGCCATATTTTTATATGGTTTGCAAGTATTTTCTCCCATCCTGAGATTGCCTTTTTTCTTTTTATTATTATTATTTTTATTTTTATATTATATTGATTTCTGTCTTTAGATAGAGAGGAAGGGAGGGTGAAAAACAGCAATGTGAGAGAGACATTTTGATCCTTTGCCTTTCTGTCCTGCCCCTATCGGAGACTGAACCCCCAACCCAGTCACATTCCCTGATGGGTAATCCAACAGGCCACCTTTAGCTTTGAGGGATGATGCCCAACCCACTGAGCCACACTGGTTACGGCTGCCTTTTCATTTCGTTATGTTAAGTGCTGTTCTGTGAAGAAGGCTTTTCATTTGTTTTTGTCTAGGGCATGTTTTTTTAAAAAATGTTTATTTTTAGAGAGAGAGGAAGGGAGGGAAAAGGAAAGAAGAATAACATCGATGTGTGAGAGACAAATCGATCCGTTGCCTCCCGCACACCCCCAGCTGGGGACCCGGATGGCAACCCAGGCACATGCCCTGACTGGGTATCGAACTGGCAACCTTTTGGTACATAGGCCAGCACTCAATCCACTGAGCCACACCAGCCAGGGCCAGACTATTTATATTTGCTTTTTTGCCTGGTGGTGCTTGTCACATTCAGAAGATTATTTCAGATATAAATCTTCGGCCCTGACTACTGTGACTAAGTGGGCTGAGCCTCATCCTGCAAACTGAAAGGTTGCCTGTTGGATTCCAGGTCAGGGCACAGGCCTGCGTGGTAGTGCAGGGCCCCAGTTGTTTGCATGTGGGAGGCAACGGATCTTTTTTCTTTCTCCCATTGACTTTTCTCTCCCTCTCTTTCTCTCTCCCCTTCTTTTGAGAAGAAAAAATAAGTAAAATCTTTTAAAAAATAATTATATAGATTTTTTAAAAAAGCAAATCTGTAAAACTTCTTCTCTAGGTTGTTTGAAGGAGTTTTGCAAACTATTTTTTTCTTATGTGTCTTGCGTATTTTTGTCAAAGATTAGTTGAATGTCAGTGCTTGTGTTTATTTCTGTGTTTTCTGTTCTGTTCTATTGGTCTGTGTTCTGTGTTCATTTTAATAACATGGTTTCGTTGCTGTGGCTTTGTCATAGACAAGTCAGGAAGTGTGATGCCACCAAAATTCGCTTTTGCTATCTGAAATCTTTTGATGTTGTATGCATTTCAAGATTCTTTTTTCTTTTAAAGATTTTATTTATTTATTTTTAGGGAGGGGAAGGAAGGGAGAAAGAGAGGGAGAGGGCATCAATGTGTGGTTGCCTCTCACATGCCCCCAGCTAGGGGCTAGGCCCACAACCCAGGCATGTGCCCTGACTGGAAATCATACAGCAACTCTTTGGTTTGCAGGTCGGCACTCAGTCCACTGAGCCACACCAGTCAAGGTGACTCTTTATTTCTTTATCAAAGGATTTATTGTTAGTTATTAATGTGTAGAAATGGAAGTGAGATTTGTATGCTGATTTTTAATCCTATCATTTTTCTTGACTTATTTATGTATTTCTTTTTTAAATTTTTTTAAAATTTAGTTTTAGAGAGAGGGGAAGGGAGGGAGAAAGTAAGGGAGAGAAACATCAATCGCTTGGTTTCCTCTCGCACCCCCAGTCAGGGACCCAGCCAGCAACCTAGCCATGTTCCCTGACTGGAAACTGAACCCGTGACCCTTCCATTCACAGGACAGTGCTCAATCCACTGAGCCACAGCAGCCAGGGGTCTTCTTTAAATTGGTTCCCTTTGTATTCTCTGGTGGCTCATGGATATTTTTGAAAGTAAATATTTTGGATTCCTTATCAGGCTGTACATTGAAATCCATTTGTTATCAATTATTGGAAAATTATGATATTCTCTTGGTAGTGTCGTTGTTTTTAATATTCCTTTTAATCCTGTATTGATGTCTATTTGGTGAAGCAGTAACTCCTTTCTGTTTTATGGACCAATTCTGGCTAGAGAGATAGATTCGTCTATATGTGGATTTAAAGGTTGGCTAAATCAGTGTTATGTTTCAGTCTTGAAACAAGTCCCAGCAACCTAATCTCCTTGATGCTACATGAGCTGAGGTCAGAATAACAAAACATGTGCAGGGCAACCGTTGCTTTGGCAGCTTTTCTTTTCAATGACAGTTGAGGGTTTTGGAGTCTTTGGTGGCAAATACTGCTGGGGACATACTCATTTTTTGGTTCTTCCTGGACTAGGTTGTAGACAAAGGGATGTGTTTTGGATTTTGTGCCAAGAAATTCTGTAGGGTCCTCTGATTTGTAAATGGTGGGGAGTTCACAGATGTTGTGGGGGCTTCTGTGGTTCTTAAAAACGAAAATTTCCAGCGTGTTTCACAGGACAGTCCACTAAGGTCAACCTGAGCGCAATCACAATAGTTGACAGAGGTAACTGACCCTTGTTTTTGACCCCACCGTCTTCAAATTTGTTTGGTAACCCATCTTCCTAGTCATCCTTTCTGTGTTCTTCTATGTTTTCTGCACTTTGCTTTTCTGCTTGTCTTTTTGCTTGCTTGTTTGTTTGTTTGTTTATTGATTGATTTTAGAGAGACAATGGAAAAGGAGAGAAAGAAAATCTTCACTTTGTTGTTCCAGTTATTTGTGCATTCATTGGTTGCTTCTTGTAATGTGCCTTGACCAGGGATCAAACCCACAATCTTGGCTTATCAGAACAATGCACTAACACAGCAATCCCCAACCTTTTTGGCACCAGGGACCCGTTTACTGGAGGACGAGGAGTGGGGGTGGGGAGATAACCAGGGGGCACAGCTCAAGTAAGCTTCATGCTCATCTGCTGTGGAAGAGGCAGGGAGGAGAAAGGAGGTGAAACTCCGGGGAGTTTCGCTTGCAGCCTGGTTCCTAACTGGTACTGGTCCGCTGCTGGGGTTGGAGACCCCTTTTCTCACCAACTGAGCCACCTGGACAAGGCTAATTTTCTATTTGTCTTAATTAGATTTATATTCCCCTGCTCCATGATTGATTTTGTTTGTGGGTAGCTGCCTTCCAGTTCTGGAAGAAGGGAGAATTCTCCTATTTCTTATTCATCCATCTTGCAGAAGTCACTTACATAGACTTTTTCTCTGTGTTCTCTTGTGCTTTGTTGTTCTGCCATGATGTTGGCCATCCATCTCTTCACTTTTTCCGTTTGAATTTATGCCACCTATTTTCCATGAAATGGCTCCACTATGATTTAAGAGGATGTTTAATTTGTGCATCCCAGGAAAAAGACAACTGTATTCATGCCAGAGTGGGCACAGAGGCTTGTCGCATTTTGGTGAAGGGTAGTTGGAGAGGGGTTGATGCATGGGCTTTGTTAAGGTATAACTAGGAACCCATTTTGTTCATCAGTATTTTGTTATCATTGCCAGTTGCTCACCCCCTTCTACTTATTCTTGTGTATTGTTGACTAAGTGTCAACTATTCAGTTCTGGGTTATCATTTCTACTCCGATTTCCAGTCCACAGATAATCTTCACCTATCTAAACTTTGCTCCTCAACCATTTCTTTTCTTTATAAGATTTTATTTATTTATTTTTGGAGAGGGGAAAGAAAGAGAAGGAGAGAAACATCTGATGTGTGAGAGAGATGTTGATCAGTTGCTTCTCACATGCCCTCAGCTTGGAACCAGGCCTGCAACCCAGGCATGTGCCCTGACTGGGAATCAAACCAGCCACCTTTTGGTTCACAGGCTGGCACTCAATCCATTGAGCCACACTGGCCAGGGCTTCAATCATTTCTATTACAGATGTTTGTTTTGTTATTTTACTGCCCTCTAGCTTTGGTGCATGCTTGCAGACCCTTAGAGTGCACATGCATCATTACATTGACTTTGAACATCATAGACCCTAGTACAATTGATGTTGATGAGTTGGAGCTCATTCAGATAATTCTACATAGCCTTCCATCACCAGCAGGAAAGCTCCTACAGGAAGCCATTTGTGGGAGAATAGTAGTAGACCCTATCTATCTGCTTTCTGTTTCATCCTTTGCTCGTGTCTCTTCCTTGGTGAGGGCACCAACACGGCCGTACTTTTTGGCCACGTAATGTGTAACAGCCATTTCTTCAGTGTGTAACTCAAGAGTCTTGAAAATGACCTCACAGAACATGCCCGGCTGTGACAGATGGCCATATATGATGAAGATATTCCTTCCCTATAAGCTCACCATATACTTCACCAGTGTTTCCTTTCATTCAGGTTGCTGCTGTGGAGCAGAGGATGTGGAAGCACCTGTTGAACAAAACGTTTCTGTAAGAGTGGTACATGCAAAGAATCCCATGGTGGCTTTCTCTTCCCAGCAGAGTCACCCCAGTGAGACTTGTGGGTCAGTGCTGAGACACATTTTCCACTTGACTGAGGAGCAGGAGACACAACACAGCCAGAAACCATTGCAGTTTGGGGCATGTGCAAAACAATTTTACTTCAGTACAAAGTGTCACCAGCACCAGGAGGATCATGTGAGAGAGAAGCCTTTCAGAAGAGGTGAGGACAGGATCCTGCTTACGGAGGGCTGCAATGTCAGTGTGTCCCAGAAGCATTTTACCTGTGGCAAGGTGGGACAGGATGTCCTTACCGAGTTAGAACATCTCCAACAAGAGACTCCTCACACCAGGGACAGGCCAAATGAAATCTCGCCATCTGGAGAGACTACTCAAAGCAGGGAAAATTATTTCACCCACAACGAATGTGAAAGAGCTGTTGGCTGCAGCCACGCGTATGATCAAAACAAGGGTGTCCTTACTGGAAGACAGTGTTTCACGTGTCATGATTGTGGAAAATATTTTTCTGGAATTTCTAGTTTTTGTTATTGTCAGAGAGTTCACGCTGGAGAAAAGCCATATCTGTGCCATGAGTGTGGAAAATCTTTTAAAAAATCAGATCACCTTCGTTGTCACCAGAGAGTTCACACTGGAGAAAGGCCATATCAGTGCAGTGTATGTGGGAAATCTTTTAAAACAAGAAGTAGCCTATGTTGTCATGAGAAGCTTCACAGTGGAGAAAGGTCTTATGAATGTAGTGAATGTGGGAAATCTTTCACCAATAGCACTCGCTTCCATTGTCATCAGAGAGTTCACACTGGAGGAAGGCCCTATCAGTGCAGTGAGTGTGGGAAATCATTTAAAAAACTGAGTCACCTTCGTTGTCATCAGACAGTTCACACTGGAGAAAGGCCCTATCAGTGCAGTGTATGTGGGAAATCTTTTAAAACAAGAAGTAGCCTTTTTTGTCACGAGAAAATTCACAGTGGAGAAAGGTCTTACGAATGTAGTGAATGTGGGAAATCTTTCATCAATAGCACTCTCCTCCATTATCATCAGAGACGTCACACTGGAGAAAGGCCCTATCAGTGCAGTGAATGTGGGAAATCTTTTACCAGAAACCATAACCTTCTTTCTCATCAGAGACGTCACACTGGAGAAAGGCCTTATGAGTGCAATCAGTGTGGGAAGTCTTTCTTCGAAAAGAATGCACTTCATTGTCATCAGAGAGTTCATACTGGAGAAAAGCCTTATGGGTGCAGTGAATGTGGGAGATCTTTCTTCCGAAAAAATGCACTTCATTGTCACAAGAGAGTTCACACTGGAGAAAGGCCTTATGAGTGCAGAGAATGTGGGAAATCATATCGCAGTAGCAATGGCCTTCGTTCTCATAGGAGTTTTCACACAGGAGAAAGGCCTTTTGAGTGCAGTAAATGTGGAAAAGCTTATCGCAGTCACCGTAGCCTGCGTTGTCATCAGAGAGTTCACACAGGAGAGAGGCCTTATGAGTGCAGTGAATGTGGGAAATCTTACCGCAGTAGAACTGGACTTCGTTCTCATCATGGATTTCACAAAGGAGAAAGGCCTTTTGAGTGCAGTAAATGTGGAAAAGCTTATCACAGTTGCCCTAGCCTACTTTATCATCAGAGAGTTCACACAGGAGAAAGGCCTTATGAGTGCAGTGAATGTGCGGAAGGTCTTAGATGTTAGGAAGTATAGAGAATTTTTCATTTATGTTAACAATGACAGGGAATTCTTTCAAGCCTTGTGTGAATCAAATCTTATACAGCCAAGCATCAACAGTGAGGAGGTTCCCCATGATTATCTTTTTATATGTGTAGTGTGTGTCCAGGTTGCACTTTCTTTACCCAGGTCTTTTTCCAGATCCACGTCACTGCATATTTCTGTTGCTGAAGCTATTTCCCCTGTACCACTTATAAGGTTCAGAGAGATTCCATGAGTCACCATGCTTGATGTGCTCAGAGAAGGTTCTCTGGTTTGTTGGAGAAAATTAGGAGTCATTTTAGGTCTTTTTTTCCTTGCCTTTTCACTACATGGCACACTTACGTGACTCAATTTTGGCTCAGGAAGCATCATCTGAATCTAGATGTCAGCTTGTAGGAGGACTCCATTTTTCAGGAACATGCTTTTTTACATACCACTGATAATTTTTGAGTGTCCAAATCACCAGTGGGGAACTGCCAAGCTGATCTCCCTTGGCCTGTAAAATAAGGGAGGACTTTTCCCCAAGTCTTCTTTAATCTTGGCTGTTCTATTTATTGTGTGAGGTAGTTTATGAGCAGTTTTCAGCCCCACAAACATAAAGATATGAACAACTTTTATGCATGTCTCAAACTTTCTCTGCCTCCATGGGGACGGTTTGGTGCAGAGATGAACTCAGCAGTTTTTTCCCAGACCTGCATTCCTGTACATAGTCACCTGGGCCAGACTGTGGGCGCTCTAGTTCTCATGAGAAGCCTCAATGGTGCGAGTTTTCAGAAGACAAGGAGATCATTCCAAAGAAGGGATAGCTATGATAACCTCAATATGTCTGGGAGCAGCATGAATTTTTTTCTTGTAAAGGATGCCAGTATTTTTGCAGGTAATCACCAGCCCAGGTCTTGCAAAGGGCCATGTACCAAATGTCTGCAGTTTCATGGGGGATGGGAAGTTGTAGCACCAGAGAGGTCAGGGGAACTGATTGCAACAGAAATATTGCTCTAACAGGTGCTGAGGCAACTAGATGGAATGTGCATTTTCTCAGCATGCATCCAGAAATGTTTCTGAGAAAAAGACTGCAGGATCAGTGTGTGCACGAATCACAGGATCTGCAGGAATTTTGATCTCTGTTGATTCAGTCATTGTCATTGAATATAAGTAAAAGTTTTTGTGGTCCTGGTCAGGTAGCTCAGTTGGTTAGTATCTTGATATGCCAAGGTTCTGATTTCAGTTCTTGGTAAGGGCACATACAAGAAGCAACAAACAAATGCACACGTAAGTGAACCAACAAATCCAGGTTTCTCTCTCCCTCTCTATCTCCCCTTCAGTACCCTTCCCTCTTTCTAAAGTCAATACAATTTTTTTTTAAAGCTGTGGATTTCTGCCACCTCTCACAAGTTCATGTCAGAGCCACTGGTGCCCTGGTAGAGAGGAAAATGAAAAAGTGAATCTGTACTCAGGGATGTCACTGTTTGACCCAGCCAGCAATCCTGTTGCTTTCAGTGAGTTTTTTATTTTTTGCTTTATTGGCTGTTACTGAGGCAAAGCCTCACCCAGAGCACATGAGTTACATGGATTGAATGTAGAATTGTTAAACCTATTTTCAAAATGAGTTGGATGTACACATTTTAAAACTCTTAAACCACTTTAAAGATGCTCAAATTAGTAAACATTTCAAGTATAATAATTGATCAGTCTTCACTTATGCATGACACTGAAACCATCACCATTGTCATAGTACTGACCATTACTGTCACTGGGAATTTACTTCATGGCCATTTTAATCTCTCCTGCCCTTCATGGCTTGGTAAGTAAACATTGATTTACGTTCCATGTTAAGCGGTAACTTTGCAATTTCTTAATTTTAGATGATACAAATAACATCTCTTCTGCTTTCGTATACATTGCATATATATTTGGAGATTTATTAATGATGTATTAGTAGCTCATCTGTTTTTGCTGAGAAATAATTCTTAAGTATATTTTATTGATTATGCTATCCAAGTTGTCCCATTTTTTTTCTCTATCCCCCTCACCCTGCATCCCCCCCCCCACCAAGCATTCCCACCACCCCTTAGTTCGTGTCCATGGGTCATACATATAAGTTCTTTGGCTGCTCCATTTCCTGTACTATTCTTAACTTGCCACTGTCTATTTTGTACCTACCAATTATGCTTCTTATTCCCTATACCTTTTCCCCCATTCCCCCCACTCCCTCCCTGCTGATAACCCTCCATATGATCTCCATTTCTGTGATTTTGTTCTGGTTCTAGTTGTTTGCTTATTTTGTTGTCTTTGTTTTTTAGGTTCAGTTGTTGATAGTTGTGAGTTTGTTGTCATTTTACTGTTCATAGTTTTGTTCTTAGATAAGTCACTTTAACAATCCATATAATAAAGGCTTGGTGATGATGAACCTCTTTAACTTTACCTTACCTGGGAAGCACTTTATCTGCCCTTCCATTCTGAATGATAGCTTTGCTGGATAGAGTAATCTCAGATGTAGGTCCTTGCCTTTCATTACTTTGAATACTTCTTGCTAGCCCCTTGTTGCCTGCAAGGTTTTTTATTTTTTTGAGAAATCAGCTGATAGTCTTATGGGAACTCCTTTGTAGATAACTAACTCTCTGTTCTCTTGCTGCTTTTAAGATCGCCTCCTTTCATCTTGTGTAACTTAATTATGATGTATCTTGGTGTGTGCCTCCTTGGCTCCCAATTTCTTTGGGACTCTCTGAGGTTCCTGGAAGTCTCTTTCCTTTGCCAGATTGGGGAAATTTTCCTTCATTATTTCAAATAAGTTTTCAATTTCTCGCTCTTCCTCTTCTTCTGGCACCCCTATGATTTGGATGTTGGAACATTTAAAGGTTTCGCGGAGGTTCCTAAGCCTCTCCTCACTGTTTTGAATTCTGTTTTGGTTGAATGTTTATTTCTTCCTTCTGTTCCAAATCATTGATTTGAGTCCTGGTTTCCTTCTCTTCACTGTTGGCTCCCTACATTTCTTCACTTTACTTTTCATAGCCTTCACTTCTTCCCCTATTTTACGTCCATACTAAATCATTTCTGTGAGCATCCTGATTACCAGTGTTTTGAGCACTGCATCTGATGGGTTAGCTATCTCCTCATTGCTGAGTCCTTTTTCTGGAGCTTTGATCTGTTCTTTCATTTGGGCCATATTCTTCGTCTCTGTGCAGCTGTTACGTTGTAAGTGGCGGGCCCTTAGGAATTCACTAGGGCAGGGCAACCCACTCCCCAGTGTTGTGGTGCTGTTTGTAGGGGAGGGTTCAAAGAGGGAACAGTGCTGCTTGCTTGGCTCTTGACAGGCTTTCAGTCACTTCCCACAGGCAAACTGGGCCCTTCTGGGGTTGATTCCCAGGTGGATTGTTTTGTGTACATTCTAGTACCCTGTGGGTCTGTCCAACAGACTGGCCTGTGAGACTGGGAGATTCTCCCGCTGCTGGAACCCTGGATTGTGCAGTCTGTCTCGCTGCCCAGTTGTTCCTCCTGGCTTATCTGCATGTGAATGTGGGATAGCCCAATCTGCCCACTGCCACCTTGCCTGCCAGGTTCACTACCTTGCCACAAGTCTTCTCTGCCCCAGCTGCCCATATCCGCCCCTCCCACCAGTCTGCATGAATGTTTCTTCTTTAACTCCTTGTTTGTCAGACTTCCATAGAGCTTGATTTTCTGGCAGTTCTGTTTTTTTGTTTTTAAATTTGTTGTCCTTTCGGTTGTACGCAGAAGCAAAGCTTATCTATGCCTACATCTTGGCTGGAAGTCAGAAATCCTCTTATCTTCGAAGATAGCACTATGCATTTATCCATTCAGTTTGGCTATTTCTAGTTTTTCACTTTAAAATAAAGCTGGTATAAGTATTTGTTTATAATTCTTTATATAGACATGTTTCATTTACCTTTGTCAGTAACTCAGTGGACAGTCTGAGCCATAGTGCAGGTGAATGAATAACTTAGAGATTAGCAATTTTTGACTTAAACTGACTGTACCAGGAATGTGAGAGAGAGTCCATTCCTCCACATCCTAGAGAATACTTGATCTGGTCAGTCATTTCTTTATTTAACCTTTTTTTTTTAACATTGTACTGCTGTCTCACTGTTGTTTTATAATTATTTTTCTAAAGATTCATGGTGAGCCTTTTCTCAGATGTGTATTTGCTATGTCTGTATCTTTGCTAAATGTCTGATCCTATGTTCTGGCTAATCTGATAAGAATTTTGGCTGTTTTCTATAACAAAAGGACAGAGAAACAACAAAGAGGTATGTTGGAATTTCATTCATTTCTGGCCTGCCTTAATTAAATAAAATTTTTTGTATTGGAATCATGTTTTAATATTTTTTACTCTATACTTTGCACAATGCAATGGACACTTTTCATTTTAACCTCCATTATTAACATTATCAGTTTAAAAAGTCTAGTCATTTGGTAATACAATAACCACTTGTTTTGTAGTGCTGTCCCATTTTTCTGGCCTGTCATGGGGGTTCTTTGGATGGAACAGGTTTCTGAAGGAGACCAGATGACATCAGGATGGGCAGGGTGTTTTGGAATCTGAAAGCTCAGTGCAGAGTAAAATAGGTGGCCAGTGATCAGACTTCCCATGGCCTGGGTCAGGCACCTTGGATTTGAATCCCTGGTGCTCAAATGGTACCCACAGTCAAGTTGTTGCAGGAAGGAACCAATGTGGAACGGGTCCTCAGGCCACCTGTAGTGTGTGGGTTTTTGACTGTGCAGGAAAGATTTCACAACATGAGTCCAGGTGATTTTCAGAGTGTGTTTATAAGGCTGAGGACAGTGGAACATAGGAAGGACTTAGGGTAGAGGAAGTAACAGGAAAGAGCCTAGGTGGCGCTCTCCTTTGGCTCCTTAGAAAGGTTATAAGAAAAGAGAGCCGCGGCAGGGCTGCTTTTAGCTCGCAGGGAAGTCAGAAAAGGGAGTGGTGCGGACAGGTTCAGAGCGTAAGTCGGGTCATGATGCCACTGGCTGCAAGTCTCATGGGGACACATAGTGTTTAGGAGGAAATAAAAAGTTCATGCCGGGGAAGGGGCATGGAGGGTCATCGTAAGACAAACACAGCACAATTCCACTTAGAATAGTGAAATTCATGGAATCAAAGAGTGGAATGGTTGTTGCCAGGGGCTCTGGGGAGAGGGAGTGAGAAGTTGTTAATCAATGGGCGCGCAGTTTCAGGTGAGCAAGATGAACCTGTGCTTCACAAATTAAGCACAGGTGAGCAACGCTGTACCTGTGCTTAACAATACTCTATATTGTACACTAAAAAATGTGTTAAGAGGGTAGATCCCCCAGTCAGTGTTCTTACCACAATAAAATAAAATTGAAAAAAAATATGGGAGCTTGCTGGAAGAGATGCAGACAGAAGGAGAAATGCGGGGAGGGAGGGGCAAAGACATAGAGCTCTGGCTTTTTGTCCCTTCTTCTGGGATACAGAAAGGCCCAGCCTCAGGCCTGGAAACCGAGACAGCGTTGGATAACCCAGAAAAGATGCAAAAGCAGGGAGAGGGCAGACAGCGATGGCAGCGAGAAGGCAGGAAGATCAAACGAGGGAGCTTGATGCCTTGAGGCTGTGAGAGCCGCCCAGCCTCAGCCTTGGAGGATGAGAGGCAGTGTGCAGGGGGACACGGGGACGTGGATAACTGTCCTGTTTCAGGGCACCAGTAACCAAAAGGATGAGTCTAGCAGTGACATGGGCACATCACCATCCAAACCTCTGCACTAAGAGATGTGACCAAACTCTAGCCTGGCTTCCAGAGCATAAGGCTGTGTCCTGGGATGACTCCAGCCATCCCCCCACCACCCATTCAGATGCCCTCCTGAGAAAGCTCAAGGCTGCCAGGGTGGTTTACTATTTGTTCTAAACACCTGATGACAGACCCCTGGCCTCCTTTTCTTAGCACATTTATTAAAAGGGGCTTGTGATAAGTGTGCAACTCATCAATGATCTATTAGCCATATAATCCCTAGCATACTCTGACTTTCCAGTTCTGGTGAACAAAATGTGTGCAAATGTATTTCTACCTGTAGTTACCATGGTGCCCCCATAGACCATTTGTTGTTCCCCGGAAAAATCCTCCGTTCTCCTGAGAGGGCTTGCATTCAGTGAGTCACGTGTCTATTGATAGAAACAGCCCTGATGTAATTGATTCTGTTGTAGTTCACGGTGCTCCTACATTTGCCAAGTTTTGGGCTTTTTTTAAAGATTTTGTTTATTTTCAGAGAGAAGGGAAGGGAGGGAGATAGGAGGAAGAGAAACAGCAATGTGTGGTGCCTTTCACACCCCCCCCACTCAAGGGCTGGCCTGCAACCCAGGCATGTGCCCTGACTGGGAATCGAACCAGCAGCCCTTTGGTTTGCAGGCTGGAACTCAATCCACTGAGCCACATCAGCCAGGGCTACATTTGCCAAGTTTAATTGTTTGCTGTGGTGAAGATGTGTCACCTGAGATTAGATGATGTGCAACCAAAAAGTTTGTTATTTTCTCCTATTTTCATAGAATTGTATTAAGACTAATTTCAGTGCTAAATAAACTGTTTCTTTTGGTTCTGAAAAAAAAGAGCTTGTAATTGTGATATGTGTCTCTTGCAGTTCTGGAGCATCTCTATCAAGGGCCTGAGAGCCTCCATTGAAATGCAATCATGAAAAAGGATAGGGCATAATATTGTGATAACTTTGCATGGTAATAGATGGTTACTAGACTTAGTGTGGTGATCACAACATTGTATAAATGTCAAATCATTATATCGTACACTTCAAGCTAACACTGTATGCCAACTGTACTTTTTAAAAAATTTTTTTTAAAGAAGAGAAGGCCAGATGGCATCCTAACTTCCCTAAGTGCCAGTTGACAAACACAGCTGGCCTCACATATTTACACTCGCCAACCCTTTGAATTTTTTTGTGTTTTGACTCCACTGCTGCTGCCCCACCCCAGTGCCCCTCCCTGATTATGCCTCTAAAATGCCCACTCAACCTCTTCCCAGATCAAAATGGAGCTCAGTTCTTTCCCCAGCTCTCATCCTCTACTGAATAAAATCTGTTTTTGCTTCTTTCACTAACATCTGGCTGTGTCTATCTTTGTCACCTGGTGCCTCCACTGGATCTTGGTCACAGCCGTCACTGGACATCCGGACCTCACAGCCCACACAGTGACCTCTGTCTCATCTCCAGTCAGCCGGGTCGCATGGTTACCCAGAGGTGAGTCTCACTCAGAACCCAGTGCTCTGGGCAGATGTCCTTTGAAGCACAGTGAGAACAGATTGTGATTTTTTTTATTTTATTTATTTATTTATTTTTTTTTGGTTACGGCTCTGAGCGTGCTCTCTGCAGCTGGGTTAGAGTCCCAGGCTTCTTTGGAAGGTGCCTCCTGGCCTGGACGTCTTCCTCCTGCCTCTCCGTGAGGTCTCTGTCCTCTCCCCTGGATCCTGCTTCTCCCCTGGGACTGTCCTGTCAGCTGAAATTCCTCCCCCTCCAACCCCTGCTGACTCCACGCCCCATTCTGAGCTCCTAATGTCATTTTCTTTTCCTCGGTGAAATTTTTACCAAAGACATTACTGAATTGCAACGGCCCTTAGGGCTCCTGGGCTATCCCCAAACTAGTCCCACTCGGAGGAGCCGTAACGCAGAAAAGCGCAAAAATCTGTGACATGAACTAGACAGCGTATTTCACCTGCTGTGAAGAGGCTGAAAAACAGCAAAATAATTCAAACCTCACTCAAACTGTTGAGGCACTTTTTCTGTTTAATCCTTACCCAAAGATACGTTTATTGATTTTAGAGAAATGGGAAGAGAGAGAGAGAAACATAGATGTGGGAGAGAAACATCCATTGGTTGCCTCCCCTGCACACCCTGACCGGGGATCGAACCCACAACCCTTTGGTGTATGGGATGATGCCCCAACCACCTGGGCAACCTGGCCAGGGCAAACCACTGAAGCTCTTAAGCGATGTCTTCAGAAATATTTTTCTGTTCAAGTAAACCCCACAGCCACCCCACATGCTTCTCCCAGATCTGCCCTGCATTCTTCTGTCCCCAAGTACCCTCTGCCGATGACAGTCCCAGCCCCTCAACTCTGTGACCCAGAGAATCACTGGGTCCCCATTTCCTGCAGATGAAGCCCAGGCGCGCTTGGCACTGGTTCCCAAGTGACACTCGCAGAAGAAATAGCGCTTCAACCTTGGTCTGGTCCGAATTTCATGCACTCACCAAGAACCTGGTTGCCTGTGCCCACCTGTGACACACTCAGCTTCCCAGTTAGGCCTGTTGGCCCTCTGGTCCTCTGCACCTCGGCTCCCAGATGTTCATGGCCAAGACGCTCAGTAGGGGGCAGACTGGCCCAGGAGTCTCCTCTTACTCTGTCTCTGGCTTTGAGTTTATTTCTGTCTCTGTCACTCACTCACAGTCTGTATCCCTCTCCTTTAATCACAGACGTTAGAGCATCCACAGAATGGCATGGATTCTGTGTTGGGAGTTGGGGAGTGAAGGGGAGCATGCGGGGCTCAGAAGAAGGAACTAGCTTATCACAGTGAGGCAGAGGTCCCTGCGGCCCCACCCCCTCCAGCCCTCAGGGTGGCTGCCGCCCTCCCCGCCTCACGTAGGCGCTGCAGCGGCAGGAAGCATGAGGTGGCTCCGGGGCCTTCACCCCACAGAGAGGAACATCTGCCTCCCCAGCCTCACACCTTCCCCACTGGTTGAGAGGAGCCTGAGCCCACAGTAGAGATAGGAAACTCAGGCTGACTGAGGAGACACTGTTTGCTGTGGGCGCGTGGGCATTAGTGTCACAGGTGGGCACAGGTAACCAGGTTCTTGGTGATCGCAGGCAAAAAATTGAACCGAACATACAGAGTTTATAGCAGAAAGTGAGAGAAAGCAGACTTACTAAGCCACACAGAACATGGGAGCAGGCCAACTCCAACAGAGCACAGCAGAGCCTAAGAGGCCTGACCACAGGGGCTAGAGGGCTTTTATTCTTACAAAGTGGGTCTCTCCTGGCTAGATTTGGCGGGCTTTTATTGCACACGTACAAGTAGTTATATTACTTTAAAGTTACTGCGCATGTGGTCTCCCTTGATTTCTTTGATTGGCTACTGGGAAGGGGTCCCACCATGCTGATTTATTATAATGCTATTATAATGAAGCAGGGGTCAGGTAGCATCTTTTGTGCAGGTGCATTCCTGATGCACTGGGATTCAGTCCTTTTCCAGAAAGCGGGAACTACCAGTCTTAGAACAGGGTCTCAGTTCTTTATCAATGTTCTTTATCTCAGCACTGGGGCACCTCTGGAGTTTTCTCCTTCCTGACTACCTCCTGCCTCAGTAGGAGAGGAGAGAGACGATCCTCTGCAACCATTTCTCAGCAAGTTGCCTCAGAACATCGGGGAAGAACACATTTAACCTCAACAGACATTAAGATATGTTTTTATTGTTTGAAAACCATGTCAACCACCCATCCCTCCTCATACCTTAGAATGTGTCCTTGTATGCAGAGGCTTTTAGCTCTCAGGAGGATGGCCTGGTTGTGCCTCAAAAGCTGAGAAAAAGAGAGGGACCGAGACTGAGCATTTTAGGAAAGAAGTAGAAGTGGAGAGGGATGGGGAGATGCAGGATGGGATCCCCACCCAGCAGGGCCCCAGCCCCCAGAGTCCATCCCTGCCATACTCCCCTCTGCCTGTTGTCACCTTGAATGGAGCAGGGTCCTTACCTGGCACAGGCCCTGGAGATGGGGGAGGAAGGGCACCTGGATTTCTTGCCTTGAACCTTCAATCACACCACAAACCTCTTCTGGGGGCCAAACGACTCGGGACAGCAGAGCTCAAGGCAGGACCAGAAAGTACAGTTGGGGCCACAGAGGAGGGCCTGGTTCAGAGGCAGGATGGTGTCATCATCACAACACCCTTCCAAGGGGTTGTATACCCGGTGCCCACACCTGGGTGCTGGCTGGCACAGCAACAGGCCAGAGTGGATGTGGGCCCCTGGACAGAAATTGCTGGTCAGTTCAAGGGGGACCGGGCACGATCCCAGCCTAAAATCGGGAACCTTCCGTGGACCACAACCTACTTCCCAAGGGTAGCCTCATCCCCCTTCATTCTTCCCAACCCTGCACTCACCTGTGCCTGCCGTTGAGCACCAGAGGAGGGGGAAGAGTAAAATGCAGACAGAGCCTGGAGGAGAAAGGAGGGGGATTGAGGAAGAGGCTGGGATTGTGGACCTCAGCGAGGGCAGGCCACTGTGGGGAAGGCTCAGTTCCAGATTTACTCTACAGGTTTGAGTCTGGGGCCATCTTTGCCTAGGGTCTAGCTCCTGACACAGGTAACAGTCCAGACAGCTGAGCCTGCTCAGCCTGGACCATTTGAGGGGAGAGAATGCAGGGAAAACTCTTGGAACCATAGCTTAGGATTCTGAGAATGCAATGCAGCTCCCCAGTGGGCAGAAGGGCAGAGCCAGTGTTCAAGATATCAGCAGGGTGATCAGGAAGGAGGAAGGAAGCTGAAGTTAGGTGGATAAAGGGAGGATTTGGGTGCATGGTTGCTTCGGGGATATGCTGGGGCTGGAATAGGTCTTGGAGTTGGACTCTCCTGTGTTTCAGCTTCTGGGCTGAACATACACATATATTTAAAGTGTGAGAGATGAAGGAAATGTAGACAAGGACAGGATGTAAAAGGCTTTTATTGATGCAATTACATGACTATAATAGAGGGAAAAAATATCTAAAATGACACAGAAAAACCATTTGACAAAATCTACACTTTCATAGTTTAAAAAATCCAACAAAGAACATACAATAGAAGAGAACTTCCTCACCCAATAATGGGTATTCACAGGAAAACTCACAGTTCATCATACCCAGTGGTGAAAGTCGGAACACTTGCCCTTTAGCATGAGGAACGGGACAAGCGCATCCACACTCGCCACTGTGTTCAACGAAGCAGTGGGAGTTTAAGCCAGGGAAATGAGGTCAGACAAGAAAGAAAAGGCACTCAGATTGGAAAAGAAGTAAAACTCTTTCTATTTGCAAATGACATGATCTTGTATATTAAAAATTCTAAGGACACTACCAAGACCCTATAGAACTAACTGGCAAAGTCAGCAAGGTGGCGAGGTACAAGATCAACATATAAAAATCAATTGTATGCACTGGCAGAGACCGTCTGAAAATGACATTAAGAAAATAATTTTAGACTGGTGCATCTCTCCACACTATGCGCCTCTCCTTTCTGGAGAGAAAATAAAAACTTTACTCTCTCTCTCTCTTTTTAAGATTTTATTTATTTCCTTTTAGAGAAAGGGGAAGGAAGGGAGAAAGAGAGGGAGAGAAACATCAATGTGTGGTTGCCTCTCACACGCTCCCTACTGGGGACCTGGCCTGTAACCCAGGCCTGTGCCCTGACTGGGAATCAAACCAGCAACCCTTTGCCTCGCAGGCCGGTGCTCAATCCACGGAGCCACACCAGTCAGGGCTAGAAAATTTTTTCTCTTAAAAAAATTTTACTTACAGTACAACCAAAAATAAAATACTTGTGAATAATTTTAATAAAAAGAAGTGCAAACTTTGTACACTGAAAACAACAAAACATTACTGAAAGGAATTGAAGACAATATATAAATGGATTGAAATACCTCTATGTTCATAAAGGGGAAGACTACAGAAATTAACAAGATGATCCTCAAATTCTTATTGAAATGAAAGAAACCCCAAATAGCAAAAAACAATCTTGAGAAAGAAGAACAAAGTTGTTAAAATAACACTGCAAAGATTACTACAAATATAAAGTAGTCAAGACACTGTGGTACCGATACTTAGTGTACACATCCACATACCCATATAGATCAGTGGATAGAATGGACAGTCCAAAAATAAACCTCTACGTTTATGGTCAATGTAATTTTAACAAAAGTTCCAAGTCAGTTCAAAGGGGGAAGTAATGGTCTTTCCACCAAATGGTGCTGGGAAACCTGGGTGTCCATATGCAAAAAGCGCAGGACAAGGAGAAAGAGAAAAGAAGAGGGATCCCTTGGTACACACCATGGACAAAGATTAACTCAAAAATGATTGTAGGCCCAAGTATAGGAGCTAGAACTATGTGACTCTTAGTGGAGAACAATGGGGTAAATCTTAATGACCTTGGTTTAGGAAGTGTTTTTTAGATATGCCACCAAAAGTACAAGAGACAAAGAAAAAATAGACCTCATACAACTACAAACAAAACAGTTTGGAAGTTCCTCAAAGAGTTAAACATAGGATTAGCGTTTGAGCCAACAATTCTGCTCCTCAGTACATATGCAACAGAATTGAGAACAGGTACTAAAACAAATACCTACATATACACTTATTTCCATAACAGCATTGTTTACAAGAGCCAAAAGATGGGAAGAGACCATTTGTCCATTAACAGACAGATACACAAATAACAGTATGTACATAAAATGGGATGTTATTCAGCTGTAAAAAGGAATAAAGTATGGGTAAATTCTATAATGTGGATGAATCTCAAAGGCATTATGCAAAGTGAAAGATTTAAGTAACATAAAAGGTAACATTGTGAAATCGATTCCATTTATTTCATGTATCACTAATAGGTAAATCCAGAGCCGGAGTGCAGATTGGTGGGTGCCAGGAGCTGGGAATAAGAGGGATTGAGGAGCGACTGCTAAATGGGCATGGGTGGCCTCTGGCTCGATTCCTAACTCAGAGATAAAAAACTACTCTGGGAGGTAACTGTTTGAGCTACGCTGTTTTTCCACTTGAGAGGGAAGAGAGGAGATGGGAGAGAAGGAAAGTCAAGGGGAAAAGAAGAGAGGTGTAGTTACCCAACAGAAAGGGTTAGTGAGCGCAGCAGGCCTTGCTCCTCTGGATGGAACATCAATGATAAAACTCCGTCCACTGCCCCTCCTCCCTGAGCCTGTCCCTGGAATAGGCCCCTAACTGGGCCACAGACCCTGGTGCAGTTGGGCTTCATGCCCTGGACCTTCTCGCTGATCTGAGAGCTCAAGGACTTGGGGAAACAATGCTGGAAGCAGGGCCAGAAGGTGCAGCTGGAGCTACAGATGAGGCTGTTCCCCTCAGCTTGGCACCACTCCAAGGGTTTGCGGGGACCCCTACACCTGAGCACCAGCTGGCACAGCCACAGTCAAATATCTCAGGAGTCAGAGCTGCATTGGTCTCCAAAGACCAGTCTCAAACCTTTGGGAGCTCCCACATCTATTTACAGTGTTGTCTTCTCCCTCCTCCCTTCACCTATTCTCACCTGTGAGTCCTTCTGAGTTTAGCCCAGGAGTGAAAATGCAGTCAAAAGTGAAAATTTCAGCGAAGCAACAGAAGGGGAATGAGAATGAGGGCGAGAGTATACCATCCGGCTATCAGTGCTGGGAACAGCTCAGAGTGACTTCGAGATTGACGCTGGGTGAGGTCCTGGAGACGGGACTCCACAAGTGAGGAATGCAGGGCAGGCTATTGGAAGAGTTAAGAGTTTAAAACTTGTAGGTCAGGAGAGATATTGTGATAAAGTCACAACTAACGTGTGGGTGACTAAAGGTGGAAAGCCTTTTGACCCAGTGATTCCCCTGCTGGGACTATACCCTAAGAATCCCAAAACACCAATTCAAAAGAACGTATGCACCCCAGTGTTCATAGCAGCACAATTTATAACAGCCAAATGCTGGAAACAGCCTAAGTGCCCATCAGTAAAGAGTAGGTCAAAAAACTGTGGTACATTTACACAATGGGATACTACGCAGCAGAAAGAAGGAGCTCCTTCCCTTCGCGACAGCATGGATGGAACTGGAGAGTATTAAGCTAAGCGAAATAAGCCAGGCGGTGAAAGACACACATCCTATGATCTCCCCAATAACAGGAACCTAATGAACAAAAACAAACTAGCAAAACAGCACTGGAGGCATGGAAACAAGGAACAAACTGACAGGGACCAGAGGGGAGGAGGAAGAGAATAAAGGAGGAAAGAATGAGAAAGGACTAGTTAAAGAACAAGTTCAAATAACCCATGGACATGGACAGCTGGGGGTGGAGGGGGACTGACTGGGAGAGGGGGTGGGCTGGTCAGACGAGATCAAAGGGGAAAAATTGGTAGAACTATAATAGAACAACAATAAAAAATAGAACTGAATAGGAATAAGCTAGACTTGGGGCTGGAGCCCCCTTACCGAGGATCCTGGGCGCCATGGGTATTGGTTATACTCCCGAGTAGTTGATGGCAGAGAAGGAGGAGGGCCTGGTTGGACCTCTATCCTGTGACTTTCTAATATGTCTCATATACTAAAACGTGTCACATTATAACAGGAGGACAGGGCTGTCAGAAAGGGAGGGGCACAAGGCGTCAGAAACAATTTCAGGAATGGACTCAACTTGCACCATAACAATTATGTCCAGAGTCCCCAGTTTCCACGCTTTCTATCCAAGTGTTTACTTGATTGGATAGTTTTATGTCCCAACATTGGGATCATTAGTATTTCATGGTATTTGAAGAGAACACCAGAGCTCTGAGAGGTTAGGTCATTTGACAAAATTCCACAGTTTGTAAGTGGTGGAGTTGGACCCCAAAAGTCCTGGGAGGGAGTTATGAGCATGTTACTGAAAACTATGGAGGAGCCGCAGCTAGAAACTAGTAACAGCACTGAACTCTGGAGCGCAAGTGGGGAGGTCAAGGAAGACAGGCGGACTTTTATTTTTCATCTTAAAGTACACGTGGTGGAAGTTTTACCCTGTGTGCATGTCTTCAGAAAATTGGAAACGAATTCAGGCTGTGGCTCCTGCAGCGGTTAGAGTGTTGTCCCATAAGTCAAAAGGTCGCAGGTTTCATTCCTGGTCAAATGTGCACGCCAGTTGATATTTCTCTCTCACATGGATGTTTCTCTCCCTCTCTATCTCCCTCCCCTCCCCTCTCCCTAAAATCAAGAAGCTTGTTATTGGGTGAGGATAGAAAAAAAAAGAATCCAGGTTGGGCAAGTAACCAAGCGCGTCACCACCGCATGATAAGCAGAGTGACAGAGCTGCGCAGGAACGCTGTGGGGACAGATAGAACGGTCAGAATAGAAGGGTCCTCGTGTTCCCGGGGAGGATGGGAGCAGGGCGGGAAGGCCAGGGGGGTTCCTGCCTGAGCTGAGCCCTGAGGAAGTGAGAGAGGTTCCGGGGCGGGCGGGGAGGGGCCGGGCTGTTCTCCTGCGGGGCGGGCAGGAGTCAGGAGGAGTCCCTCTGCGGAATTGCAGGCAGACTGTGCTGGTGGGCGGTGGAAGCCCAAGAGGGCGGGTCCTGAAACCACACTGGGCACCCAGGGAGTTGGAGTTTTGATCCAGAGGCGGTGAGAGTCACCTGACGATTTCAAGCCATGAAAATCCAAACCAGGTCACAATCCTGTGACACTGTAGTGTCTGTCCCCAAACTCAGGACTCTCACAGGCCTCACTGCAGCAAGGCCATGACTTCCTTGGGTCACACACCCACTGCCCAATATCTCAAGGTTAGCTTGTTTCTTTGTTATATTGTTGGTTGGTGTTGGAGCCAGTGTCCGTGGGTCTCTCGCATTCTTGCGTGTCCTGCGGTGAAGCAGTGACTGTCTTTTGTCTTCCACAGTCTTTTCAAGGATGTTTGTACAGGGCACGGCCTTGGCAGATGGAGAGAGCATCTCCCTCCAGAGCCCAGGACAGATTGGTGTCGTGTCCTGTTTATTAGTGACACTCTCTTCCCCCAGGACAAGGCCAGGCTGCCCGGTATGAACAATTCAGGTGTCCTCCCTTGGGGGTCTGTCTCCTGTAACGCAGCCCACCGCGCGCTGGAAGCCCTGGTCCTCTTCCCTCGCCCTGCGGGAAATGGGGCTCCAGGGACGGGTGCGAACGCAGCTAGTCCGGTTACTCTCCGTTGCTGGGAGTGGGAAGCTGTCCTTTGTCTCTGACTCAGAAGTCTTGTGTCTTCTGAGAGAAACCAGTTAAATGATAGGATTAAGTCCCAGTTCCCGACAGTTGGTTTATTTCTGTATATTTTTATTTATATCTTGTCATGTTTCCGAAAGGACTCTGCATGTCCCAAATGGCTGTTTGCTACCACAAGAAAAGAAAGACAAACTCGTATATGAAGGATTTTGCCCTGTTAATTCATAGAATTTATACTACTTTTGAACTTTATTGAGATATAATTTACGCATCATAAAGTTTACCAGACTCAGGTGCATGAATCAGTAATTTTTTTTGGCTGGCTGCATCTTAAGATTTTCCATTTTTTTTGAGGGATGCCATCAGACTCCCCAGGAACACATTCTGGGTGGTAAAAATTCCCCCCGGGTGACTGGAGGACCTCCAGGTGTCCTGGCACACGCTGTGGGTGGCATTGCAGGAGAAGAAACAGAAAGTTGGGAAATCTGAATCGGTCTTCATTGCGACAGCTTTGTCGACACAATCACTGAGACTCGAATTCTCCTCTGACGGCACCCAGACGAGACCATCCCGCAGAGCTCGCTGCCGCGACGGGCGTGCTCTCTGTCCACGCTGCCCAGTGTGGGAGCCACCAGCGCATGTGGCTGTCAAACACTCACGATGTGGTCAGTGAAGCTGAGGCGCTGAATTATTAATTTCATTTACTGTTCATTGATTTAGGCAGCCAGGGTGTCCAGTGCCTGCAACCCTGGACAGCACAGGTCCATTAAATGGCCATGCCGCTGCCTTCGGAGAGCCCCTTCGGATGCGGAGAGCGACCTGGAGGAGGTCGCTCCAGGACCTCCTCCCCGGAACACATCCCTGAGCCAGGGCCTCGACTCAGCAGGTCCTGGGAGAGCTCGGGGCCCGGGGACTCGCTCTGGTTCCAACCGCTCTGGCTCTTCCTGGGTTTCTTGTTTCCAAGCTGCAGCTGAACCCGTCCCAGGTGAGCCAAGCATGAGGTGCTCCCGGCTTAGACCTCACGACCTCAAAGGGGCTCGCTGGTTTCCTTTCCCTAAGAGGTGACTGCCACCATCACAGAGAGACGTCCGTCCTACAACTGGGCCCATCTAACGCTCCCTGCAGGGCGCGGTTATCATAATTTTGTAAACCTTCTAAACAGCTGCAATATGGTAGGATACCTTTGGTCTCATTGCCTCAATTTTAAAATGTGGGTATTTAAAATTAACCAAGAGGTTGATAATTGTTTTGCCTTGCTTTATTTTTCAATAAAGAGCATCCTCAGAAAATAGGAAAGAGGCAAACACACCTGGACTCTGTGAAGTCCACCAGATTGCGGTGCCCGGTGAGCCTGGGTCTCCTCACTCGCCTGTAGACCACACACGGTGACTGTGTTCAGACAGGTGAGACTTCCTTCTCGTATGGACTCTTTCGGGCCCTGATTAGGGTGGTTCTGGGCATTGATCCCCGCCAGAGGGAAGCTCCGCTAATGGGACTGAGCCTCGGACAAGCTGGAACAAGCCCTGGGATGGACGTGTCCCCCGAGTGGGAAGTGTGCACAGTGAAGGTGCGGGTCGGGTAGGAGCGTCCGCAGCAGTTTTGTAGAGCACAACGGTGTCCTTAAATCAGTTTATCCTGATGAGCATGCAGATACCAACCCACATCCAAGGACCCAATCTGCTGACCTGGAATTTACCGTGTGTTAAAGGGAAAACCACTCCCAGGCCCAGGGTCTGAAATGATAAATGCAGGGGAAGCCTGGCTCCTCCCTTAGTTAAGTAAATTCTACTTGCAATATTGGGGTCATCAATCCCGCTGGAATCTTCAGGGCTCAATCTTTTCAGTGAAATATGCAAATCTGAGTGCAGATGCAGGTGGTAGACACATCACGGGAGACCGTCGGGGCAAGGGGAGACGCGCTCTCTAAGTGTGTTTCTCAGACTGGGTTTTCCAAAGGTGAACAGTGTATTTACTACCCCACATTCCCACCTGCAGCGTGACCTTGCCACTCCCCCATCAGCGGGTGGGGTCTGACTCCCCTGCCGTTCATTCTGGCCCAGCCCTAATGACTCCCTGCCCTCAAAGGGGCACAGGGGGAGTTGTGTCGCTTCCCTGGCTAGGTCAGACAAGGTCACATCATGCGCATGAACTAAGGGCGGGGTGGGGGGGCCTGGAGGGAATGGGGGTACTGGGCAGAGGGGGATAAAAGGGAGGAAAAAATGGGACAACTGTCATAGCATAATCAATAAAATATACTTAAAAAAAGAATATTTCTAGACAGACTATTGAATGTATGCAGTGGCTCCTTTTAGCCACATATGATCAGAAGAGGGATATGAGATGTAAGAAAAAGAGGGAGAAAGTGTCCAGTTTTCAAGAAAATATGAGGGGAAATGCATAGAGTTGCCAGGATCGGCTGAGTCTACAAATAAAACGGTTTCTCAGTCCCAGTCTCTCCAAATGACAAGATCCTCAAATTAGGAAACAGATTCTTGGCAAAGATCAAGCCCAGGGTGAAGCCGTGAGGTTGTCTGTAAGACCTCAGAACTACCCAGGATGATGCCACCATAGGGAGCCTTTCAGCGAAGCAGGGTGTCCTCTACGTATCCCAGGTCACAGCTCCTGGGCCCTGCCAATGAAACTCAAGGGCGACCAGGAATCTCAAGGCAATTGTATCAGAAAGGGGGCTCCAGGTACAAACAAGGGCCTCTATCAAAGAGATATGCACTGTGGTTTTTTAAAAAATATGAAAAATACCTAGAGAGCAGCAACATTCTATGGGCATTGTATCGAGTTCTCCAGAGAAATAGAACCAGTGGAATATGTCTCCATCTTTCTCTCCCCACCCTCCCCGCCTCCACCCCGGCCCCCACACACAAGCGTTCATGTGCCCTGGCCCACTGTGCCCTCTACTCCCTCCATGTCACCCAGGGCCACCTTGAGTTTTATTAGTATTTGCTGCCATGTTTGGAGACATCTCCTAATCACTCAGAACACTACTGACACGGGTGAGCGGGGAGGCCATCGATTTTTGGATGATTGCAGCACCATGAAAGGTCCCATCATTGATGCCAGAAAGTAGCAGAGAAAGTGTCAGGAGCCACAGGCAGTGACAGTGAGGCAGGATAATTAGATGCTAGAAATTTTGACCAGTGGGAAAAGGGAAACTGAGGCAGATGGTTAGACAAATACAACCAAACCACTGAAACAGTTTACAGCCAGCTAGTGAGTCCCAAGGTCTTAACTTTCCTGACTAAGGACACTTGAGAGCAAATGGTTGGCCCCTCTCCTCCCTGAC